AAAAAAAAAATCGCCCTGGCCGGCGTGGCTCAGTGGTTGGTTGAGTGTCGACCTATGAACCAGAGGCGATGGTTTGATTCCTGGTCAGGGCACATGCCCTGGTTTCGTGCTCGACCCCCAGTAGGGCAGCTGATCAGTGTCTCTCTCTCATCATTGATGTTTCTCTCTCTTTCTCTGAAACCAATAAAACTGGTGTCTTTCTGAGTTCGACATAGGGCAGAATGTGATCGGTATCGAATTTCTCCAGATCCTGCACAGCTGGGAAGAGGAGAGGGAGTTTTACGATCGAGGCGGCATTCGGTCTGAGGCCTTAGAAGCTGATTTTAATACGGAGGCTACGGAAGACAGCCCTGGCACTTGGAGAAGACTAGGAAGGGAGCGGGACCCAGGGTGCAGGGAGTCTGAATGCGACTGGCAGCAGGAAGCCACTGGAAGATTCTGAGAGCCATCCTAATGCAGTTTCTACAACGTACATTTAAGACAGTCGCCGAATGAACCCCGGAGCAGAGACATCTGTCGGTTTGTTAAACAGATCTCTAAAACTCTATTTTCTGAAACAGTCTATTGTCAAGGAGATTACACTTTCAAATATCTCCAAGCTTCCATTTAATGTTCATCCAAACTGGCATCTGATGTATAACAGTAAAATGTGTTAAAAGAAAGAAATGAAAAAATAAAAGAAACAACAGACCAAGCGGAGTCACTTGTGCTGAGCCACATCACCAACCCAAAACTCACTAACCGATCTGCAGTTCCAGCCTTTCTGGGGTGCGCAACTTGAAACCAATCAGTCTGGGATTTCCTGATCAATACTAGTGAGGTAATCTGCAGGATAAAACCCCCACCACCCCTTCCCCCCAAAATGAAGATGGTTACCTTAAAAATAATCCTTTCTTTTCTTTTTCTGACAACTCCCCTGCCACACCCTTCGGCCTATAAAACTTCCCATTCTCTACACCCATCCAGAGGCGCCCTTCTAGTTGCTAGATGGGTTGCTGCCCAGTTCATGAATCACTTAACAAGGCCAATTAGATCTCCAAATTTACTCAGTTGCATTTTGTTAACAAATGAGATGTTCTCCAAGTGAAAAGGAACAGTACAAATGTGCTGAAGTAGCTCTGAGCTTGTTGGAAATTTAACAGTAGGAAGACCTTGTTTGCTGTGTGTGGGTGCAGAGGGCCTGTGCTGGGCCCTTGGGTGCTGGGCCCTTCTGCTGGGCTCAGGCTTTGGGGGAAGGGAGGGCACACTGTCAGAGGTGTTGAGGGCCACCCACACTCATTCCTAGAGGCCTAAGTGAGGGTCCAGACCGGGGTAGGGGCAGGGGCCGCTGTCCAGGTCTGTGGGCCGGCACCCCCCTAACTCACCGGTAACGTAGAAGGCCTTGTAACGCTCCAGGCGGACGGTCTGCAGGGCTCCGTACTCTCCAGCTGCCCCGCTGTTGGGGTGAAACAGCGCCTGGGGAAGGGTGGCAGGGCTTAGTTATAAGAAACCATGCTAGAGGCTCCCTGGAAGCATTGCTTTCTTTGTCACAATCCCTCCTTGTCCCCTCACCCCCATCCCTGTCCCAAACACTGACAGACATAGGCCAGTAGCCTACACCAGCCCCTCCTGGGCCCCTCTGTGAACTGACCGGAGGGGGCTACAGCTCTGGTAAGACTCCCGGGCCCAGCACCAGCTGTGTAAGCGGCAGGGTCCCGCGCAAAACGAGAAAGAAAGAAATCTCGTCCACGAATGGAGAATTGCAAGAGGACCAGCAAGTGTGTTTTGAGCCCAGCACAGGGTCCTTCCGAGTGTGGGGCTCCGGGTGAGTGCACAGCTCACGTGTCCAGGAGCCTGGCCCCGCCCGGGCTCCACCCTCCAGGCTCAACCCGGGGCCTGGGAACCTGCGGGTTTCGCAAAGGTTCCCAGGGATCCTGGCGCAGGTGATCCTGTTCTCAGCAAAACGGCTTCTTCAGCAGCCAGTTGGTTTTCTCTCACTTGAGCAAGGACGGCATCGGGAGGCACCTCGAGAGGACCTCTCCGTGTGATTTCTCCAGAAATGGGCACCCCCTGACCTCTGAGTGGCGCCATCCTCCCCTCCCACTCAGTCTGACTCCATTCGGACTGAGGGGCTCCTTCCTCTGCAGGTCCCAGATGAAAGAATCCCTATAGCATAGAAACACCTAATCCGGGGATCCCAAGGGCAGGACCTGGTAGTAAATAAGTGACCAGCATCCTTGGTAGGCTGGTGGGTTTGGGCTGAACGTGGGAGACCGCCCTGGTATGAATCATGACCGATATATATCACTGGGAAGGCGCTTACATGATTCAAAGTTTCCATGGGGCTAAAAAAAAAAAAAAAAATGA